TCTGTCGGTTATCACTGTAGATGGAGCACCATGGCGCAGAACAATGTGGCACATGAAGAACTGTGCTACCTCAGAAGCCGTGGCTCGTGGTATCACCTGTGTCTCAGCATAGCGGGTCAAATAGTCAGTTGCAACAATGACCCATTTGTTGCCGTCGGACGATAAAGGAAATGGGCCGAGAATGTCCATGCCGACTTGGTCAAATGGCTTGTGGGGTGGATCAATTGGCTGAAGTAATCCAGCCGGCTTGCTTGGTGCGACTTTCGACGCTGGCATTCACGACAGCTTTTGACGTACTGCTTCACGCTTGCCGAAAGTCCGGGCCAGTAGTACGCCTCACTTACTCTGGCGAGCGTTCGCGAGTAACCTAGATGACCAGATGTGGGCTCGTCATGACACGCGGAGAGGACTTCGTCCCGCATGTCCTTCGGAACGACGAGGAGGTAAGCGCGGCTCGTAGAACGGGCGTTTTTTTTTTTGTACAGGACATTATCTCGGAGGCAGAAAGACGTCACGACGCGAGATAGATGGCGAGGTATAACGGCGCTATGACCCTCCAGATAGTCGATGAGCGGTCGTATCTCTTCATCTTCTCGCTGGCGTCTGCTCAAGTCAGATGAGGTAAGGGCGCCCAGGAAACCGTCATCGTCCTCTTCGTCGTGATTGACTAAAGGTATGGGTGCACGCGACAGCGTATCAGCGTCTTCATGCTTACGTCCAGACTTATATACAAGGGTAACATCAAATTGCCACCTACTTCTAGAAGTGGGTCGTATGCCAAGGTGAAGGCTCACACCACAGAGAAGAAAGAAGTGCGCGTGCCCCCCCCCCCCCTGCTCTGGCAAACAAGCCCAACCGACGCGCTTGGTTAGAGCCCTGTTGCTCAGACGTCAATAAACCTTACCGACACCCCCTGGAGCGACATGACAATTGGTGGAGGTGCGGGGTAGCCCCTCACGGATGTTTCAGGCCCCTCCTGGAAGCGGCACCACAAACCCAGTGCGAGTCAACACTCCCGTTCATCGGACAAGCCGCAGGATCAGGGGATTGCCACCTGAAGCTGACCCTACAGTTCACCCCAGTATGATGACCACGTCCGTTCAAACCACTTCAACAGGTACGGAAAACCCCCCGGTGACTCAGTACACCCTCGAAAGTCCACAGGTTCCGACACCGTTTCATGGCACCGAGCTCGAAGACGTCGAGGACTGGTTGGTCGACTTCGAACGCGTGGCTGCTTTGAACGACTGGAACGACGCGGCCAAACTACGGCGTGTGTATTTCTATTTGGAGGATGGAGCACGTACCTGGTACATTAATCACGAGGAACAGATGACATCGTGGCCCGAATTCCGCCGCCGGCTGTTGGATACTTACAGAAGTGCTGATCACCACGAACGAGCGATCCAGGCCCGCATCCAGATGCCCAATGAAACTGTCATGACCTATGTGGAAGATATGACGCGCCTGTTCCGACGGGCTGATCCGAGTATGACAGAAGAAAAGAAGGTGCGTCACCTGATGCGGGGAGTTAAGGAGCAGCTTTTCGCTGGCCTTGTACGGAGCCCTCCGAACACGGTCACCGAGTTTTTGTCCGAAGCCGTCACAATGGAAAAGATGCTTCAGCATCGATCCACCCTGTATGAGCGGCAAGTGAACACGCCCACTGCTCAATTCTCACGGCTTTTGGGAGCAACACCGAGTGTCTGCGCGACCTTATCCGCTCTACAGTACGCGAGGAGCTGCAAAAGGCTGCCACACCACAACTACCTACGGTGAGTTCCATTGCAAGCATCGTCAAGGACGAGCTGCATCATGCCCTTCGTGACCCTGTGAGTCTGGATAACGCCACATCCGCCCCGACTGACTACCACCGTGCGACCTATGCGGAAGCCTTGAAGCGCCCAGCTTCCTCCTCCCCGCTGTTTGTTCAAGCACCTCCTACGGTTTCACTTCAGTCGGCGCAGCCTCTACGGTACTACGAGAACACACGCACGCCCCCACCCCGCGTTTACGCCTGCCCTGTGCATCTTGCGGAACAACCAGCACACTACGTTGACGACAGAAGTGCTTCGCCTCGGAAGTCTGATGTTTGGCGCACTCCTGATCGCCGACCTTTGTGCTTCCACTGCGGTGAAGCGGACCATTTGTACCGCCACTGTCCATACCGCCGCCTCGGGCTGCGCGGCTTTTCAGTATATTCAGCGCCTCCTCGGTATGGCCAGCGACCCCGGGACATTGAGGACTACCTGGCTCAACAGCGCATGCCACCGCCTTCTGGACGGCAGCCGCGCTCAACGTCATCGAGGCGCTTTTCATCTTCGCCACAGCGCCATGCTAGCGCACGGTCCCCCAGTCCCCGCCGGGAAAACTAACGCAAGCGACCCTTGGAGGCGAGGTCACTGGCAGTCGACGTGCTGAAGACCTCCGATCGACGCTAACAGTAAAGGGTGTAGATTCGACTGAGCGATATGTGCGGCTTTCTCTGGATATACCGGTGCTGATAGACGGCTATACAGTAGGCGCTTTAGCTGATACCGGGGCTGACTATTCGATACTAAGCGGGAAAACGACCAGACTACTAAAGAAGGTAATCACGCCCTGGCATGGCTCCGTGATTCGAACGGCTGGTGGCCACACCGTCTCTCCGCTTGGAACCTGCACGAGTAGAGTTCGGGTCTGCGGTTATACTTTTGTAGGAAGTTTCCTTGTGCTCCGTGAATGTTCACGCGACGTTATTCTTGGTGTTGACTTCCTGCAGGAGTATGGAGCTGTCATTGATCTTCAAGAGAATCGCATCACCTTCTCAGCCGACCGAGCAATCGACAAGCAGGATGACCAACAACGTGCCAACGTTCTTCGCGTTTCTGCTGAAAGTATAACGCTTCCTCCAAGAGCCAGTGTTATTGTCGACGTCACATGCTGTGGATTGCGAAATGGTGAAGCGATTGCAGAAAGTAATTTTGAACACCTGCCGACTCAAGGTGTTTGTGTAGCTAGGAGTATCATACAGCTACGTGATGGCCGATCTCAACTGCTCGTTACAAATTTCAGCAACAAACACCGACACCTTTTCCGTGGCACTTCGTTAGCATTTGCAGATGCATTGGGAACCGTTCCCATCTGCTTCTCGTCGGACGCAGTGGAGGCCGCCGATACGTCTCTAAACAATATCGATATTAATTCTAACCTCACACCAGAAAACCAGACAGCACTGCGAAAACTCATGCTTGAATTCAAGTCATGCTTCGCTGCTTCCTCTAAGGTGCGCCAGACATCGATCACTAGGCACAGAATCATCACTTACTACGACGCCCGCCCAGTACACCAACAGCCTTACCGTGTGTCAGCGAAGGAACGAGAAGCCATTCGTACGCAAGTTCGAGAAATGCTTGACGACGGCATTATCGAGCCTTCACCTTGGCATACGACCCACTACTAGAAGTAGGTGGCAATACAAAGTTTGTCTTAAGACCGCGGTGGTCTAGTGGCTAAGATACTCGGCTGCTGACCCGCAGGTCGCGCGATCGAATCCCGGCTGCGGCGGCTTCATTTTTGATAGAGGCGAAAATGCCGAGGACCGTGTGCTCAAGTTTGGGTGCACGTTAAAGAACCCCACGTGGTCTAAATTTCCGGAGCCCTTCGCTACGGCGTCTCTCATAATTATATGGTGGTTTTGGGACGTTAAACCCCACATATTATTCAATGGGATAGCGTTTACGTGGTTTACGAGCCCAAGCTACGACGGTGGCACCACCTATCGGATGGTTAATAAGTTAAAGAACAGTGAAAAAGGAAATGCTCGCTGTGCCACCGCGCGAAGCATTGTTGAAGTTCATTTTAGTAAAAACAAAAGTAAATGAACATGAACCACGCACCAAACGTGAAAACATTTATGTTGCCAATTTAACATCGATCTTGTAGTTAAATCCTAGACACGTTTGAAATGCGAAATATCTCAAAAACTACGCCAACTTATCCGTGATACTCGGTCGTCGAAGCTAACTGAAGGCAAGCGAAGCCACTTTAAGCAGTCGTTTGCTGCGAACAAGGTGAATCTCTCAACAACTACGTCAAAATTACTTCGAAGCGGGAGCCCGAGAGCACCGCTCGTTTCGAACACTACATACACCTACGGTAACGTTAAATCTGAAAAAGCGCTCGAACGGTAAGCGGTACTGGTAACGTACATATCTGCACGTGTGCACTTCAATTCCGCTATCACGGTACGCCCGGTATACTGTCACCTACTGTTCGCGACAGGCGCGTCCCTATTCACCACAACCTCGTTGTCGCCGAGCCGCTGCCCGGAAACAGCGCGGTCGGTTAGCGCATGCGTGGTCTCATGGTGCCTCCCGTGACACCACCAGTTTTCCTCGCCTTTCATCCTATTAGCTGTTGGCCCGCTGCAGCACTTATGATTTCCAGTATATTTTTTTTTGAAACTTTTTGCATCAATTGAAATGCGACTGCCGCAGCCGGAACCTACTCCACGACTTTTGGGTGAGCGGCCGAGCACCGTAAAGTCTGTGCCACCGCAGCGGACTCGTACACCTTCGTCGACCGACACATCCACTTACCTTTTGCAATAGTCCGTGTTATCCAGGAAGCATACAACTGACAAATGCAGGATTCTGTGTCCACCTTTGCCACTACATAGCATAAACGACGACCGATTCGCTTTATCCTATGGACGCTCTACCAAGCTGACCAAGACAAGTCAAACAGTATAAATTCAGGCTTAAGAAAATTTAACTACACGACATTTCAGCAGCTTCTTTCACCTAGTAGAACCGTCTATTACTACGTTTGTCCACGCCTGAACGGAGAAGCGTGACTGACCTGTGAATGGCAGAGTCAGAGAAAGATCGGTCGAATCCAAATGATTAATTTTCGTTAGCAGCAGCCAAGACACATGACCAACAGACATGGTTTTCCCTGCGAGAATGTGTTTGAACCAACCCGAGGTAGTTACATCCCAGGAGTGAGCAAGGCGCAGAACAGAGACCGACGTGACCTTTAATAACTTGCATGCAAGCCAACATCGGCAGTTTAACATTCGATGATGGTTTTTGTACAGTGACAATGAAGTTCATGATAACACATTCAAGTACTGTCCTGCTTAACTCAAACGAAAACACACATATGCACACTGAATGAATGTGATGATCAGAGAGTTCACAGCAGGCCCAGGGAGATGGCTCTGCCTTGCATCGGTCGGTTGTTGAACTTTGCGAGGGCTTCCTGCGCGTCTCGCGGTGTTGGAAAAGCAATCCGTGCGTCACCCGTCACCTGACCCCGGTCGTTGAAACGCCGCATAACATTCTCTTTGGTCAATTCGAAGCCCTGAAAAAAGTTTATGATATCCTCGACACCCGCACGGTAAGGAATATTGGTGGCGGTGACGACGCAACCTGGCTTGCCGAAGCTATCCATGCCGCGCGGCGGCAGCGGCGGTTCCTCGTGGCGTGGCGCCCTCAGCAGTGGCCCTCCACGATCAGGAAGAGGCCCTCCGCGGTCAGGTAGAGGCCCTCCGCGGTCAGGAAGGGGCCCTCCGCGGTCAGGAAGGGGCCCTCCGCGGTCCGGGAAGAGAGGGGGACGACGGGGTCCACCTTCCGGGAACAGAGGTGGCCTTGACGCACGCTCGAGCAGTGGCCGCTTAGGCGGACCATCGCGGTCGCGCAGAGGCGGCCCTGGCGGCCCCGGCGGTCCCGACTCGAAGCGCCCCTCTGGCCGCATGCCCGGTCTTTCAGGCCGACCGTCACCACCGCGGTCATGGAAGCGACCATCAAAGCGATTGTCATAGCGGTTATCAGGACGACCGTCTGGCCGGCCGTCGGGACGGTGATGCCCTCCCAACGCTTGCGCAACTTCGCTATACGGGATCGTCTTGAGCGCTATCAAGTGCGGCCCAAGGTTAGCACCGTCTTGCAGGAATGCCCTCTCACAGTCAGCATGAGTTCCGAACTCGGCAAACGCGTGGCCGGTGGGCACACCATTTGCTCCGAGCATAATATGAATGGCACGGGGTATGACCCCCTGAATGCTGAAAAAGTCAGCGATGTCTCTGTCAGTCACAGTGTTCGGCAATCCAAGCATGGAAACGCAGGTGTGTCCAGGTGGCACGAGCACATGGCCAGCCCCGTGGGCCGGCCCCGCCGGGCCCATTCCAGGTCCATGCAACGGCCCGTGGCCTACTTCAGGGCCGCGGTCAGGGCCCACTCCATGCCCATGCTCTTCATCTCGCCGACCCACCGGCATGCCATCTGGCCTGATATTATCGCCGTTTCGGGCCGCACACATGGCATCACGAGTGCCAACAGAGAGTTCTATGTAACGGTGGCCTATTTTCCGTCTCTGCATGCTCATGGCCGTTTCAAAGTCTCGCTTGTCACCAAATTCCACAAATGCCATGCCGGTTGCACGACCACTACGATCATGCTCCACTAATATGTCCAGAACATTGAGCCCCGAAAAAAACTGCAGTACGTCTTGCTCGCTGGTATTGTAAGGAAGGCCCTTCATTACAACGACCATGTCCGCTTCAAGGTTGCGACCCTGGTTTGGTAGTGCAGCAGATGGGGATACGAGCAGTTCAGTTTGCTCAAAAAGGTCTTCAGGAAAAGGAACTATCTGAATCGGATCTCCACACAGTACTTTGTAGTCACCCTGCATAGCTTCACGAGCATCCCACTTGTTGGCGAAACGTACCACCACGCTCTTTATGCCAGTTTCAGAAGTGGCCACACGAATGCAGCCACTGAATATACGTAGTCCTCGGAAAAAATCTTTCACATTCCGCGGAGTCGGCGCACCGCTAAGGCCACGCAGTTCGACACAGCAACTCTCCTCTGCATGACGTGGGGGCACATCGCGAGCTCCACCAGGAGGTCCTCCTTCGCTCTTTCGCTCAACTTGGCCACTGCCATCCAAACGCCGATCTACGAAGCCGGGAGCCATGTTTTCCATGTTTGGCGCACCCATCGCGTCAGCCATCCCGAATGCACCCGGCATGTTGGCAGGCACGTTACCAGGCATCGCAGCAGCCATCCCGCCACTCACATTGGCGCCTATGCCACCGGCAGCGTTTGTCATGCCCCCCATATGACCAGGCATATTTCCAGGAATGTTGGCAGCCAAACCACCTGGAATGGCAGCAGGCATTTGGCTAGCGATGTTCCCAGGCATACTTCCGGCCATATTGGCGGGCATGCTGCCTGGCATGCCACCGCCGATTTGACCGGCAAGATTGGTGGGAAGATTATTGGCCATGTTAGCAGGCATGCCTTCAGCCATGTTACCCGTCATGCCAACCATCATGTCGCCACCAGTAGGGCCCATTAAACCGCTCATCATATTAGCTGCAAGACCAGGCAGGTTGTTCATTAAGTTAACAGGAGGCAGGTTGAAAGCCGCCAAGTTTGGGAGAGCTGCGGGTTGGCAAGCCATGTTCATTGGTGCCGCCGGGCTGACGTCACTTTGCGGCCGTGCCGCCTGCTTCATGTTACCGATAGGGAAGACAGGAGGTGCCGCTTTGCTTGGATCTGTGTAAGGTGGCTTTTCATCCCAACCACCCTTGCGTTCCGACGTCTGGCCATTAGAAACTTTTGCGGGCTCAGGTGCTCGGCCAGGGTCATCAAAACTTCGGCGGCGCTCGTCGGAACGCGACGATCTCGATCGGTCCTTGTCCCTGCTACGGTACGGTGGCGAGCGGCTGTGACTGCGGTCCCGCCGCGACGACCGGCGCCTCGGTGAACGGTCCCGTGGTGGCCTTCGAGAGCGGTCATCAGGACTGGAGCGGCGGCGCTCTTCTTTCTTGATGGGCGGGGGTGCAGTGTGCTGAGCGCGCGCCTGATCGATGATGCGCTGCATCTCGGCGCGTGAACTAAGCAGTAGCTTGATGCGGACCTCCTTGATTTTACCACCGTCACGTTCCATGGCCTGGCGCGCATCTTCGTCGCTGCCGAAGGCGATAAAGGCGTCCCCCTTCTCGCCACCGACGATGTGGACACCGCCCTCGGGAATGCTGAGGCCCTGGAAGTAGCGACGAATGTCCAGCGAGTTTGCAGCCCAAGGCAAGTTCTGCAGTCGGATGATGATGGACATGGTGGACTGTTTCCTGCAACGACAGATGGCGGCCACCTTGAGGAAGAGAACGCAAAAGTGCACCAAACCTGTTCACTGACAGGCTTTTTTTCCACCAGTGCCGACATTTCAAATCTGTTCTTGGCCGATTAAAAACCTACAGCAAGCACGAAATCAGTGGCGGCTTGCTGCAGTGGCCATTGGTGTTCTTATGGTAAAGAAGCGCTGCGAAGGCACGTTTTTTGCCTTATACAATGTTCACATTTCATGACCCTGTACCACCCGTTAGACATCACCCCGTAATAATGGTTTGTGTAAGTGTAACCTTGAACCGACGCAAGCTGCTTTGGCAAGGCAATGTACCTTTTTGCTGGATTAATGAAGTACGTTTCGCACCATAAGGAATAAAAATTGACGTTCCTCACT